GCCTCTTGAGTCTGTGCCGATGTCCCGAGGGTTGGCGACTGCGGTCTGTTTGAAAAGGGCTCCGGGGTCGGCGACAATGGGGCCAGGGAGTCTGCGCTGCCCGTTAATAGGATCTCCGGTGTCTGTGGTGGTGTTGGCGAATCTGGTCTGTATATTGACAATTTCTCCGGTGTTTGTGTTAGTGACATGGAGTATGGCGATTCTGTTGGTTTAAAATACGGGCCCTGTGTCTGTGGCATGTGATACGGCGACCTGTCCATTGGTCCGGGGTTCATTGTGTCCGGTAAAGGTGACATCGGTTCCAGTGAGTCAAAAGATTCAGGCATTGCCGAGTACATTTCGTACGGTTGCATCATTCTCTGTTCTAGGGGACCTAAGATCGGCGGTTCCAGAGTTGAAGTTGATGGTCCCTGAGCGTAAAGCGATGGAAGGGGCTCTGGCACATCTTCATTAAGACTTCTTATGCGTTGCGCCTGATGGAAAATAGTATAACAAAATTCTATAGCGGTAGTAGTAACTACGGTAAGACACCGAACATAATCAAGACGAAACATCTATTTTGAAATTCTAACTATTGGTTTTTCAAATTCTATCTATTACAATTACCAAACAGATTTTCTTGTATTTCATTAAAATAGCTACCTAGTCTGCACATTAATCGATTTGACAAATTTCTAATTCGAAAAATTACAAAAATGAGTCTTAAGTAATAGAAAAAAAACATACAGACGAATAGACTACCTCATTCTTTTGGGAAGTCGGTCAGAAAATGTTAAAAGGACACAGACGGAATCTATATAATTTACTTACCACGGTGTACTCCGACAATAGGTGTAGATGCATACGCAAGTTGTGGAAAGAGGCGTATGCATGAGTCACGTTAATACGATGGAATATCTCTTGAGCAAGAGTGTTGATGTACAACGACGTGTCTTCATCCAATCCTTCAGTCAGCTGATTCTAAAATTACACAATTCATAAAAAAACAATCGTTTATACTGCTTACTATACACCCTTAGGGTGACTAGGCCGTAATCAACAAACCACTACAACAAACTATCGCACAACTGTCGTGCGATAGTTTAGTCAAAAGTGCCCACTCCAACCCTTGTATAGGTTTACTTTTTTGTTATGAGATGGGGGCAAACACAGAGGCGATCAACGACGGCCATGGACATCCGCAACACCAGAGGAAATACAGATGCGTTGCCGGCCTTTGAGGAAATTGTAGACTCGCTTCTTGAAGGACCCTAAATCGTTTTGGTTCGAAAATACCAATTACTTACCACAAAGTGTCTGTGAATTAATTCCATGCCACGTTCGCTGTTAGTACAGCATAAGATAAGGGCGAGCAAATCGCGATGCAACGTTCCAATCGTCGAATAGTACCGCGTCTGGAACATATCCGAGCCAGTAGGACCAGTTACCAGTGTCAACACTCGCGGCATCCTGCTGTTGAAGAAGTTGGTAAAAGTCTGGAATAAGTCGACATCCGGCCGGACATAGCAGCGGATATGATTGTTGGAGTTCTGGAAAAAAAAAACAAAATTAAAAATCACAAATATTTATACTAATATTATATAGAAAAAAAATTATATATTTGTTTATACTGAAATATCTCTCTCTCTCTCTCTCTGTCTCCCTGTCTTACTCTCTCTATATCTCTCTCTCTCTCTCCCCCCCCCCTCTCTCTCTCCCTCTCTCTCCCTCTCTGAGAAGTCAATAACTCAAGAACTGAGATTTCAAAAGGTCTTTCACCATTATAAATACATTATCTTAGTAACATAAGCTATATTTTCAAATTTCACGTGAATGCAATTGCAAGCTAGCGTTCAGAAATATTAACCTTCGGAGAAATTAAATTTAAGTTGTCTGGTTCAATGATTACTAATTAGTGAAATGTGTCTTCTACCATAATTACCAATCTTCCCCTAGTTATGATTGACGTTTTCACTGCTTAAACACAACATGTACAGTTATGGAATCTGACTGTGTTCCATTTTAAAAGCTATAAAAAAGTAGTTCGAACATTTACAAGACGCGGAATTAAAACCAACAAAAAAAACTCGCGCCACTTTTTGTTTAATCGAAAGTTTAAACATTTTAAAAGCGTTTAGACATTATTAAAAACTGGACTAAAAAAAAATCTCATTAAAAGATTAGCGATACGGTTAATTTTTTCATTATAATGCTATCGTTTGCGCAACTCACTATGTAATTGTTTATTTTTAGCAGAGTACGTAAGTTAAACACCGCGGATTTCCTCGACTGTAAATTTACAAGGGATTAACTTACCATATCCATCAGGCTTGAAATGAATCCACTATTTCTTCTCAAGATATAATCAGTTACTGCTTCGAATGGGTCCAAAGAAGCCTCAACTCGCGCACCTATCATAAGATCTTGTGCATACGATTGGAGATGTCTACGCACATCATTAAATTCCCTTGGAACTAAATATGGCTCGTTGAAATTGGGATGCAGAGATCCTGGCATGAAGCAGTGTCTTGCCTGAAAAATTTCAAATTATTTAAAAAATATACTCAACTATATTTACGAGCTGTCGCCCGCAAACTTCGTTACCGCTGATTTAAAAAAAGTCATCTATCATATTCCCGCGAGCATCTACCTTCTGCCAGCTATCTATCAAAGTCCCGTCCAAATCTGTCCACCCGCCCCAGAGATCCGGTCACTATTTTGAGAGCGCGGAATCAAAAAAAAAAGCCTATGTGTATATATGTGGGTCTATATCAGCTACCCTTAGTGAAAATTTCGGTCGAAATTGGCCCAGACGTTTCGGAGGCTACCCGAAACAAACGCGGCTTACGGACAGACAGACAGACAGACAGACAAAAAAATGTAATGTATGTAACAACCATGTAATGACTCAAAATACTGAATTGATTTGAAAAATTTATTTCCTTTTGAAAGATAATCAAAGTCGGGATCAAAAGCTAGTACTGCCTTATTTTAAATCACACTAATATTATAAATACATCTTATTTTATCTTTTTGCATATAACAGATATAAATAAGCTACTACAAGATTTGCGCAAGATTTTTTCTTATAGTTGTAATACTTTTAAGTTATAAATACAAATGCTACATTAGGAGAAAGTTATTCAAGTTACAAAAATACTTACCACAACCACTAAGTACGCATTGAGGTGTGCCAAACGAGACGATCTACCCTCCAAGATGTTGTCCATAATTATTAGCTGCGTCTATAAATATCGAAATATTAGAATTGCGATGAAACATGTATTTAAAAAAATATTTTCACAGAAAATTACTTAGCTATACTCTCCTAGTATTCATCAAATCTAATTTCTTAACATTCTAAGAAAAAACATCAAATTCATTTTTACTCTTAATATTTGGGTAACGCATTTAAGTATAATATTGCTGTGAATAATCAATTTTCGCTATTTATCTAGGAATAATTGGTTAAATACTTAGAGAACTGTAATTATTATAAAAATAGAGATGGTTGTGAGAACATTGTTTGAACGATATGTGCTTTATATATCGATATCCCGTCTGAGAAGTATTGTAAGTGTATTCCTTGACTCCGACTTCACCTATTACCACCCACACATTATCCGATATCAGAATTACCAAGTAACGGTAATTATTATTATTATTAGTAATTACTTACGTAGTAATGGTAGAATAACCAAGTAAATGTAATGGTAATAATAGTATTACTATTACTTGGTAATTAATGGTCATGGTAATAATAGAATTACCATTACTTGGTAATTCTACCATTACCGTGCCATTATTGCCGTGTTTTACCATTATCGTGCATCTCAAGCAAATATATATAAATAACTTACATTAGTGAGGCGACATCCGCGACGTTCAAGATGTCTGATATTCTGCGACGCCAAATGGTCTACACGCAATCGCACCATTATTTCGAACTGTTCTTGTGTATTGCTACAAAAAAACAACCTTTCCATAAACTATTACCAAAAGTATTACCAACACAAATTTTAAATTTTTTAGTTATTTTAACACTTAAATGCGTTGTATAAATCTAACATTCAACTAAACATACATTTTCCTAGATTTTTTTATTTATTTTTTTTGCGACATGTTTTTTCTTAAGGTTTGGAAAAACAATGCATTTAAGTGTTAAATTGAAACGTTGTAAAAAATGTATTGTGCAGTATATTAATTGTAACATAGTAATAAGTAGTATATAATAATAGTATATAATAATAGTATATAATAATATTTACGTGCTAAGATAGTTCCGCGAGAAAACGCTCTCACAGGGCAGGAAGCGATCATAGGATGAATTAGGGCCGGAAGCAAGTGCCGTCTCAAGAGCACGGCGCAACCCTTCTGTGAAAAAATATATACAATTACTAGCTGTAGCTCACGACTTCGCTCGCGGGAAATTAAATAGGGAATATTAAAAATATAGCCTATTTCACTTAGTGATAACAGAGCTTTTTAATGGTGTAGGAATTTTTGAAAACACAAATCTCTCCTCTTTATGATATTAGTAAATATAATGATTATTAGTAACAAGATACTTACCATTTGCAAATTGCTGGCCCTGCCGTGCGTTT